TGTGCAGTGGGTTCAAAATTGGTTACAAACCTATGGAGACAACTGGCAACATCAACAATGTAACTGGCCCAGGAACTGCTAACCGATGAACAGTGCTGATTCAAGAAGTTTTGCAAAGAAGACAAGAGCCTTGAAGATGAAGAGCATAGTGGCTGGCCATTGGAAGTCAACAAGGACCAACTGAAAGCCATCATGGAAGCTGATCCTGTTACAACTATACGAGAAGTTGCCCAGGAACTCAACATTGACTGTTCTGTGATCACTTGGCATTTGAAGCAAACTGAAAAGATGAAAAAGCTCAAGAAATGGGTGCCTCATGAGCTGACCACAAATCAAAAAAACTGTCATTTTGAAGTGTTGTCATCTCTTACTCTGTGCAACAACAACGAACAATTTCTCAATCAGATTGTGACAGTGAATTTTATACAACTGATGACCCGCTCAGCGGCTGGATGGAAAAGAAGCTCCAAAGCTCTCCCCAAAGCTAAAGTTGCACCAAAAAAAGGGTCACAGACACTATTTGGTGGTCTAATCTACTACAGCTTTCTGAATCCCAGTGAAACCATTACATCTGAGAAGTATGCTCAACAAATCGATGAGATACACTGAAAACTGCAAGGCCTGCAGTGGGCACTGGTCCACAGAAAGGGCCCAATTCTTCTCCACGACAACGCCCGACCTCACGTCACACAACCAATGCTTCAGAAGTTGAACGAATTGGGCTACGAAGTTTTGCCATATTCACCTGACCTCTCACCAACCAACCACCACTTCTTCAAGCAACTCGACAATTTTTTGCAGGGAAAACGCTTCCACAACTAGCAGGATGCGGAAAATGCTTTCCAAGAATTTGTTGAATCCTGAAGCACGGATTTTTATGCTACAGGAATAAACAAACTTACTGCTTGTTGGCAAAAATGTGTTGACTGTAATAGTGCCTATTTTGATTAACAGGGATGTGTTTGAGCCTAGTTATAATGATTTAAAAATCTGGGTTCAAAACCGCAATTACTTTTGCACCAATCTTAACACTATGACTACTTCGCCTAATAATAAGTAACAGTTCGGAGATAATAAAGATTAATCCAAAGCAGATAAAACTGAAGGGATTATGAACCTTAAAGGAAACACTGGGCCATAAGATTTAAAACTGGGGATAAGACCAAATTTTTTGAATTCTTAGAAAAATAAACAGTCAAATCAGAATTTTTTTTTTTAAATCAATAATCATAAAGTAATCTGCAAGGAGATCAAACCAGTCAGTCCTAAAGGAAATCAGTCCTGAACATTCATTGGAAGGACTAATGTTGAAGCTGAAACTCCAAAACGTTGGCCACCTGATGTGAAGAGCTGAATCATTTGAAAAGACCCTGATGCTTGGAAAGATCAAAGGCAGGAGGAGAAGGGGACGACAGAGGATGAGATGGTTGGATGACATTACCGACTCTATAGATATGAGGTTGGGCAAGCTCCGGGAGTTGGTGATGGACAGGGAGGTCTGGTGTGCTGCAGTCCATAGAGTCGCAAAGAGTCGGACACCACTGAACAACTGAACAGAACTGAACTGAATCCAAAAACTATTAAAGAAATGGGGCAAAGTCCTCCTACTAAAAAATAAAAACAAAATCCAAAACCAAAAAAGCTAGTTTCAGAGGGTTTTTACAGGAAAGAAAAAAAAATTTCTAGAAGCAGATCAGTTCAATCTTATAGAAACTATTTTATATAATAGAAAAAGGACACTGACAACATATCCTATAACCTTTGTAACAGGATCACTCAAAACAGTCTGTCACTCACTCAGTCGTGTCCGACTTTTTGCAATCCCATGGACTGTAGCCCTCCAGGCTCCTCTGTCCATGAAATTCTCCAGGCAAGAATACCCGAGTGGGTTGCTGTGCCCTCCTCCAAGGTATCTTCCCAAAGCAGGAATTGAACCTGTGTCTCTTATGTCCCCAGCCTTGGCAGGCAGGTTCTTTACCACTAGTGCCAGCTGGAAGCCCCAAAATCATGTGAGGAAAGAAAATCTAAATCAATCTCAGTTGTGAACATAGATCCAAAAATGCAAACAAAATACTGGCCTCCTCAAAATTCAGAACTGGAATTCACCACATTCATATTCATGAAGAATCATCCCAATCAATGCAGGAAAGAACTTTTGAAAACTTCAAAACTCATCCATGATTTTTAATAAATCTCTCCAAAATCACTGCAGAAGGTAACTGCAGCCATGAAATTAAAGACGCTTACTCCTTGGAAGGAAGTTATGACCAACCTAGACAACATATTAAAAAGCAGAGACATTACTTTGCCAACAAAGGTCCATCTAGTCAAGGCTATGGTTTTTCCAGTAGTCACGTATGGATGTGAGAGTTGGACTATAAAGAAAGCTGAGTGCCAAAGAATTGATGCTTTTAAACTGTGGTGTTGGAGAAGACTTTTGAGAGTCCTTTGGACTGCAAGGAGATCCAACCAATCCATCCTAAAGGAGATCAGTCCTGAGTGTTCACTGGAAGGACTGATATTGAAACTGAAACTCCAATACTTCGGCCACTTGATTGCAAAGAACTGACTCATTAGAAAAGACCCTGATGCTGGGAAAGATTGAGGGCAGGAGGAGAAGGTGACAACAGAGGATGAAATGGTTGGATGGCATCACTGACTTAATGGACATGAGTTTGGGAAAACTCCAGGAGTTGGTGATGGACAGGGAGGCCTGGCGTGCTGCAGTCCATAGGGTCACAAAGAGTTGGACACGACTGTGCAACTGAACTGAACTGAACTGAAATGAACTATGAATAGAAACAAGCTATCTAATATGATAAAGAGTACCTACCAAATATTTACAGAAACACTATTCTTAGTAATGAAACATTAACAAAACTCTCTTTAAATCAGAAAAAGGAGAGCCAACTTTATCATTGCTAATTACCAGCATGCTGGAGAGTGAGCCAGGGCAGAAAGACAAGAAAACCAGAGGAACCTTTATCTATGACCATCTGCCTGCCTACCAAGAAAACCAACACCATCTATAGACAAAATGTTGATATTAAATCACCTACATCCATCTGCACTTCCCGGGGCAGGGGCAGGGGCAGTGGTAAAGAATTCACCTGCCAATGCAGGAGATGCAGGAGAGACGATGGTTTGAGCTCTGGGTCAGGAAGGTCCCCTGGAATAGGAAATGGCAACCTGCTTCAGTGTTCTTGCCTGGAAAATTCCACGGACAGAGGAGCCTGGAGGGCTACGATCCACGGGGTCAGAAAAAGCTGGACGTGAGTGAGCAACAAAGCACAGCACAGAACAGCACGCACAGCCACCTGACCTGGCATGGGAATGGAAGGAACAAACTACACATGGATCAAGGCGAGAAATATCACTGGGTGTGCCAGGCCAGCCCCTGCTGACCACACACCAGATGAGGCCATCTTTATGACCCTCGAAACCAAACAAAGTCACATGGTACACTGTTCATGGGCTTCCCTGGTGGCTCAGCTGGTAAAGCGCCTGCCTGCAATGAGGGAGACCTGGGTTCATTCTCTGGGTTGGAAAGATCCCCTGGAGAAGGAAATACCAACCCACTCCAGTATTCTTGCCTGGAAAACCCCATGGACGGAGAAGCCTGGTAGGCTACAGTCAATGGGGTTGCAAAAGGTCAGACACGATTCAATGACTTCACTGTCTTTCTTTCACACTGTTCATGGGCACAAATGCTTGTAGAAAACCATCTGTGAGGAGCAAGGGTATGGCGAAGTGCAAGGTGTAGCTGCCTTTGGAGCAGAGAGCGGGGATGGGGTCAGGGAGGAGGTACACTGCAGTTTCTGGACCTTAAACTTGGTGGCAAGGTGGGGATGTCGGGGGGAGGTGGCGATGGTGGGTGTGGCAAGCCTGTGAGCTTTATCCTCACGCTTTACCTCTGTGTGGTGGGCTCTTTAGCAAATGCATTAACCTTCTACATAAATAATGTAAATTAACAGAAGAGTTCAACCAGCAATGGTCAGTAGAAACCTGTTTAAATGACAGGCATAATTAAAGCTCCTGTTAAAAACAGCTCCTCTGCGCCAGCTTCATTCACAGCAGGTTAACCACAGGAAACATAGAGAACCACCACAAAACATGCCCTGAATCAATGTCTGGGACTCTGAGGAAGGAGCATGGACCCCAGAGGAGACGGGTGACCAGTGACGGATTGCCAGCTGGGAACCCGAACCAGGCTGGAGGTTTCTGCATCTGTTTTATTCCACGAACCCGGACAGCCTTCCCCCTCAGCCACCCCTTCAGCCAGCTCTGCATCAAACACATACATGACCTTCCTCAACAGTCATGAAGCTGGTCTCCCACGAAGCTCAGCACACATCTTTTCAAAGCATGAATCATTTCTAGATAACCAACAATTAACGTTCAGAACCTATAATCTGGTTCCAGTGTAGTTCTCAAGGCCTCAGTAATCTGATCACTTGTCTAATACATCTAGACAAGAAAGACCTTACTCTTAATAGATCAAAAGCCACAGCCATTGTTCCACCTTTGGAGAGAACATATGATTGACACTCGTGAACATGGAGACACATAGGTGGCAACCTCAAAAGCAGTCAGGGAAATATATGTGAAAAACAGTGAGTTTTTACATGTCAGCTTGCATATATTAAAAAGAAAAAAATTATCTCTGGGGTTGGTTGGGGAAATTTACATAAGACTTACATGGAAGTTTACATATAGATTTATACGACCTTTTTGAAGAGCAATTTGGCAATATCAACGTTTAAAATGTACACATATTCCCATCTAATAACTTCTCATCTAGATCCCCACACAGGAAAAATTCTCCCACAAGGGGAAAAAAAAAAAAAATCACAAGAACATTCTTAGCACCTTGTTTGTAAAAGAAGAAGGCGGGATACACATGCCCATCATTTTTACTTATCTTCAAGTAACATTAAAGATCTAAAATACGATGCTTTTGACGAGAATCTTAAAAGCTAAATGAATGAATAAAAACTTACTTCAAAAAGAAAGAGGATGGAGTCCAGCTCCTCCCTTTGTGACTTATTATTCCCTGGAATATATAAAAAAAGAATTCATTACTATGACAACGTGCCAATTTTAAGATATCAAAAATTAGGTTAAAATTACGTTGCTGACCCTGGATGTGAACCTCCACAGCTCTATGAAGTGGCTGTCACTCATGCACTCAGCAAACTCGGAGGATGGTCTCCGTGTCAGGGACTCTTCTGGAACCTCAGGGCACATGAGTTCACAGGCGTGAACTCCTGCCCTGGGGAGGTTTATATTCCGGCAGGAGGAGGCTCTCCAGAAATGAGTGAGGAAACCAAGAAGCAGATGGGAATGCCCAAAAGTGCAGTTTTGTGGTTGACTAGGGAAGTCGGGGACACCCGGCTGATAAGGGGACACCTGAGCAAAGACCTCAAAGAGGTGAGGGAGCAGCCGCAGGGAAACCCGGGGTATGGAAATGGGGGCTGGCTGTGTTCCAGGCAGAGGGACTGCAGGGTCCCCGTGGGGGAGCGGGTCTGCATGGGGAGGATACAGCGAGGAGGCCCTTGTGTCTGGAGCGAGGGGGAGAGTTATGGCGGTGAGGCGGGCGGGCAGGCAGGCAGGGCGTGAGGGGACCAGGAGGCCACTGGAGGGTCTGCAGCGTGGAGCTCATGACTGACAGACGCTGTAAAGCAACCCTCCAGCTGGTCTTTCCCAGAGATTTTGGCGGGGGTGGGGTGGACGGTGTGGCAGGGAGGCCAGTTCTGAGGTGGCTGTGGTAACCCAGGTAAGGACAACAGGAGGAGGCCAGGAGCAGAGGTCAGGAGGAGAGGCCGGGGCGAGAGGCTGGCGATTCTGGATACATTTTGAAAGCAGAACCAACAGTGCAGGTTTTGGCTGAATAACTGGAGGGCTGAAGCGATCACAAGATGATTTTGTTATTCCTAGCAACCATTTTCCTTTCTTCTTTTGTTTTGGTAACTTCCTCCCCTGGGCTCCAGTCAACATACAGACTGTACTAAAAGCAAGAAACTGTAAAGCTTCTCCCTCTTTTTATCGGTCCTTCATCGTGACTCTCTGCAGGAGACACAAGGCAACAGAGCGGCAGAGTCTTCTCCCCATCAAGAAGGGTCTATTTCTCTCCAGCCCCGGAATCTGAGAGGCCACATGACCTGCTCCAACCACGGTGACGACAGCAAATGTGAGGTGAGCTCAAAAAGCCTTACTTGCCAGCAGGTCATGGAGCCCTGAGGCCAAGTGTGCTGGAGCCGAAGGAAGCCTGCCAGCTGGGCAACAGGGCCCACGCAAAGGAGCACTAAGGTGCCCTGGGCAGCAGCTTGACCATCAGGACATGTGTGAATGAGGCCACTCGCCACAAGCCAGTCAGAGGCAGGAGCCAGCCCAAACCACAGGAACTGCCCAACAGATTCAGAAAAATCACAAACTATATGCCTAGTGGTTGTTTGAAGGCACTCAGTGTTGGGATGGTTTGTTGTGCAATTTGTTACTCGGCACAAACTGACTGACAGTCTTATGCCACCGAATTTTCCTAAAGGATAGAGGGAGGAAAGGGAGAACAGGGATGGAGGGAGGGCCTTTTAAAAAATGAGGTTTGTAGATGGTAATGTTGTTTTCTTAGATACCAGGTATTAATTTTTTTTCTTTGCTATTTTGACTGAATATACGACCACACTACTATGAAGTGGAACAGAGCTAAGAGGCAAGATAAAAATCACATCATTCCATATTCGAGACAGCTACCAATCTGGCAGAAAAAAATTTAAGTTCAAGAAGTGTACCAATTTATAAATCACAAGGGGGGAAAGCTAAGAAATTCATTTAAAAAGAACAGGTGCTGGCATCCTGGGCCCAGGCCCACGTGTGCCCTGACGTAACATAGGCTGGAGCAGTATCCCCTGCAGGACCTAAGTGGGAGCTGTGTGGCCTCCATGCTCCTCTCTAAGGCCTCTTCTTTCCATGTGACCCTGTCTCAGCCTACTGCACCTTCCCCCCCAACCTCTGGAATGGAACTCACACTTTCTGTGGTTTTCCTTTTATTTTTATATATATATATTTGTGTGTGTGTGTGTGCACAGAGTCTTAGCTGCAGCACAGAGTCTTAGCTGCAGCACACAGGCTCTTTAGTTGCAATATGCAAACTCTTAGCTGCAGCATGTGCATTCTAGTTCCCTGAGCAGGGATCAAACCCAGGCCCCCAACATTGGGAGTGCAGAGTCTTAGCCACTGGGGCAACCAGGGAAGTTCCCTTCTGTGGATTTCTTGTCTATTTTCCCCTTGGCTGTTGTTGTTCAGTTAACACCTATACGAGAGAAAGTTCAAGGGAAAGACGCAACCGCTGTGAGTTCACAGCTCTGCTGAGTGTTTGGAAAGAGAGGAAGCTTAAAGACATGTAACTTGTAGCACGTGACACACACAACCTTTAAGAACTTCCTGTATTTTTATAAAAAAAAAAAAAAAAAACGGAACTTTGTGTATCAAAAAAAAAATTTTTTGTAGAAATTCTTACCTTTTAATTTCAAACTATTTTCCAGTGTTATAAAATTTTCATAGAAGATGAAATATATCTGAGAATAGTTGGTCTCAAAAAACTGCTTAAGATCGCTGGCATCCACATTGTCTGAAAAGAAAAAGTTCCCATTTACAACCACAACCTTATATGATCATCAGCATTCACAAACAATCTTTTCAGAAACAATGCAAAAACCAGTCATGTCCCCTTATAAGACAAAACAACACAGTAAAGTGCATTTCCATCCACTTCTTTCTCCACCTAAGGGGAGCTCTGAGGTGACCTGGGGCACGTCCCCTCCCCCACCCCCGGACCTCAAGGTCACAATCGCTATAGAGCAGCTGGAAGGCCAGGGGTTTAGTGAGGGTCCTGGGAGGGACGAGATGATTCCTGGCTGGGGTGGGGAAGCAAAAGTTGGGGCGGTTTAGACCCAGACCATAAGGGATGGAGGCTTCCACGTGGCGCTAGAGGTAAAGAACCCACCCGCCAATGCAGGAGACATTAAGAGACTCGGTCAATCCTTGGGGTCAGGAAGATCCCCTAAAGTAGGAAATGGCAACCCACTCCAGCATTCTTGCCTGGAGAATCCCATGGACAGAGGAGCCTGGCAGGCTACAGTGCATGGGGTCGCAGAGTCAGACTCGACTGAGTGACTTTGCACGCATAAAGAAGGATTAGCCTAACTCTGCCAGGAGGGCCCCACGGCCTAGTCTCTCCTCCCTCCCTCCAGCTACCACATCAGGCCCTCCCGACCTGCCCACATCCACCTGGGCCACTGGTCACCGCATCCCTCCAGCTTCTACTTGACCCGTCCGGTCCCACTGCATGGACACAGTGGGTCCTGTGTTCCTAGTATCATTCCAGCCATGTGTCTCCCATGTGTTTAGTGTTGATAAACCAGTGCTGCAGGTAGATCGACTGGACATTCAGGAAATTCACTCAGCCCAGGAACATGTCCCCACCACCCCACTCTGGCCCCTGCAGGGGCCAAGCCAACAATACAGCCAGCGCCCCTTTCGGCTCAGGTCAGAAAAGTCACCCATTGTCAACACACCTCTGCACATGTTCCTCAGGAAACAAGGTTGTTTGTGGTTTTCCAGCAGCGTCCTGACCAAGGTGTTAGCTCTTTGGGCATTCTTAAAATTTGACAAGATTACTCAAGGGGGAAAAAAAAACATGCTGCTATTCAATCTATATCAGAGTCATATCAGCTTTGGGGTCCTAAGTCTGTGAATATGTGAGAACACACCCACTGTCACGTCTACATTCTATAAAGTTAACATTCACACTGATGAGTCTATAAAGAGTTGTTTTCCTCTGATAACTACATAGCACTGTTCACGGAAAAATCTGCACTGGTTCTTTGAAAACAATGTACCTAAGATGTTGGAAAGATCATTGGAATGGCCGAGTTCACATACCTGTTTCTCAACCTAAAATCACACGGAGAACAGAGCAGTACAAGTTCCTGGTAACTAACAAGTTTACCTGCATGCGAGCAGGTAACACCACCAGGATCCTTAACCCACACAAGCATTACCGTTCTCATGAGTGACACAGCCTTGCTGTGGAGTTCTCCAGTGCCTTCCTTGAGTGTGCCAGTTCCAAGGGCTTTGTTAAATGTTTACTCCAACACCAACTGCTCAGAGGGCCTCTGAAACCTCCCCAGCCCCCAGGCCAGGGCAGGGCTTCCGTTCTGCAGCCCACCACCCTCTTCCTCCCAGTCACAGACTATGTCACATTACGCTCAATTTCCTGGTGCAACTGGGCTCAGTTCTGATGGAATGATCTGTCTCCTCCGTTAGAGACACTGCCCACCTCACAGATCCCCAGGTGGTCTCAGCACCATTACATGCCCTGCAGGGAGCATAAGCATTTAGCTCAATATTTTCCTGAATGCACTAAATGAGACAAACAGCCTCTAATACACAGTCACGGGGCAGTGACCACAACGTGTAAGCCATCAGATCTCATGCTGACATGAAAGAGGCGCCCTGACCCTTGGGTTACCAGGAGGGAAACGTCACCCCTCTGCGGAGGGGGTCCCCCCCGCTCTGTAGGCTCGGCTCTCACTGTCCGCTGCCGGCTCCAGTGAGAGTCTGGAGGCATCTCCCCTCACCTTCTGCTCTTCCCACAGTTGCTCGACCTGAACCTCAATCCCCATCCCGGGTCCTCCCAGCTGCTTCCCAGCCCGCCTCCAGGGTGTTGGGTCCTCCACCGCCCTGCCGGGAACTGCGCCCCCATCCCCACCCAGGGGTCCCTGCCTCCCTGCTTCCCCTCTGCAGTCCCCTCTCACACTGCAGTCAACAGGATAACAGAATAAACCAAATCAGTAGCACTGAAAATAAAATTCAAACTCTTTACCACTACTCCACAGCCTTTCCTCTGCTCAAAGGCAAGTCCACCCGACGCCACATTCTCCACGCTGCCCTGCACTCTGGCCACCGTGGCTTCTTTCCATCTCCTGAGCTTCCCACACATGTTCCCTACCCCCAATCTTCGTCCAGCTCATTCCTTCCCATCCTTCAGAGCTAAGGCCGCGCTCAACCTCTGCAGGGAAATCTCAGGGGTCCCTGTGGGCCTCCTCCGGCACGGAGTCTGATGGGCGGCCAGCCGGGAGTGGACTGAAGCCACAAGACACAAGGAGAGGTTGTGGGCCACCAAGAGTCCATCTTCCCTGGGATCCCCTGGTCCCTCAGAAACACGCCAGGGTCAGCGACCTGAGCACAGCGGCTCCTTGTCAAAGCTGAGGGCCTCACGCAGACAGGAAGGCCCTCCAGGAGCCAGAGCCCAGCCACCTCCTCCCCACCACTCCCTGCCTGTTCTGTTGATGAGGGGCGGCCGGACAGAGCTTGACATCCTCATGACAAGACACTGTGATACCTTCAAGTTCGCTCCAAACACAGCGAAACCAAGAGCGTAACATTGGTAACTACGCACTTTGTTTACCCCGCTGAGGACTCCTCGGAGGTCCGGGAGTCCTCCTCACATGATCCCTCCCCACGGCACACCTCATCAGTCAAGACTGACTCATTCCTTTCTTCCCTTATTGCACTCCACTAGAATGGAAGCCTCAGCAGCCAGGAATGCCATCCGCCTGGGATTTGGTCACCGCTGTATTCCCAGATCCAGGAACAGAGTGGGGTGCCCGACAGGTACTCAACACATATTTGTCAAATGAACAAAAAAATTAATGCCACATTTTTTTTTAAATCTCTAGTCTTCAAAATCTAGAACGATTCCTTTATGTCTTATTTTTTTTTATAAAACACAAGACTCATGAGATAACTCTTTGGAAAGCACAGATCTTGGAGAAGGTGGCCTCAGGCACGGGAAGTTAGTGCCCGGTAGCAGGGCACACAGACAGGATCACAGAGCTGCCTTTTTTTTTTTTTTTTAAATAATTTTTAAAATTTACTTGGCTGCACCAGGTCTTAGTTGGGGCACACAGGATCCTCAGTTGTGGCATGTGGGATCTAGTTCCCTGACCAGAGACTGAATCCGGGTCCCCTGCACTGGGAGGGCAGACTCTTAGCCACTGGACCACCAAGACAGTCTGCTTTTTAACTTCAAGGTGCATAGATATTATGGTAAGAGGACTGCTCAGGAAAAAAAAAAAAAATGACCATAAACTTCCTTTAGAAAGATGCTCTTCACCTGCTCAGTCAAACATGACTGGGCCCCTCCCCCTGCAAACTAGGCCTGTGCCAAGTGCTAGGAAATTTGACAGAATAAGGTGCAGGGGCCCCAGAGACAGGGATACAATCAAGTAATGGAAATGACACCGGGACCAAAGTCCAGGCCGGGTCTTAAAGCAGGGAGTGAAAGCCGACTGGGAAGGTTGGAACTACTAATAACACTGTATATTTAGTCCTTAAGAGACACTTTCACGGATTTACTATATTTGACCCTAACCACAACCCTGTGCTTGCTCCTTGGAAGAAAAGCAATGACAAACCTAGACAGCGTAGTAAAAATCAGAGACATCAATTTGCCAACAAAAGTCCATATAATCAAAGCTATGGCTTTGCCAGTAGTCATCTATGGATGTAAGAGTTGGATCATAAAGAAGGCTGAGCACCGAAGAATTGATCCTTTTGAACTGCAGGTGCTGGAGAAGACTCTTGAGAGTCCCTTGGACAGCAAGGAGATCAAACCAGTCAATCCTAAAGGAAATCAACCTTGAATATTCATTGGAAGGACTGATGCTGAAACTGAAGCTCCAATATTCAGGCCACCTGATGCAAAGAGTCAATTCATTGGAAAAGAACCTGATGCTGGGAAAGATTGAGGGCAGGAGGAAAAGAGGGAGACAGAGGATGAGATGGTAAGATGGCATCATTGACTCAAGGGACATGAGTTTGAGCAAACCCTAAGAGATGGTAAAGGATAGGGAAGCCTGGCATGCTGCAGTCCATGGGGTCACAAAGGGTCGGACACAACTTAGCTACTAAACAACAACAACCTCATGAGGGAGATGAGGCAGGTGTGGTCAACTCAAAAAAAAAACTTCAGATACAGGATCATCCGTAACCTGACCAAGGTACCAGGCCAGTCAGAAATGTGGGGAAGACTCCTGTCTGGGGTTCCAGCCCGAACATGAGCTGCACAAAGGCTCAGAGACACGTGGTAATAAGTCAAATCCAGAAACTGGATCAGGAACATAGAGAAGTGTCATCTCCTTGGGGAAGGGATATGCAGGGGAGCAGATGGAGAGACGACCCTAAGACATGAGGGGAGAGCATGGCCCTGAGAATGGGCACCACTTGGCTCCCCGAGAGGGACCTTAGCAACCTCTCCACCACCCTGTGGGGCCGGTAAGAAAGTGGGAAAGAGCGGAAGTCCCGATCTGGGTATGTCCAACATGGATGCTAGCATGTGGCCTTGCTGGCCTCACAAAGCTCAGGCAAGTGCATTCACACTGACCACAGAGGAGCAACCAGCAGACAGCTTCATAGAGCTGGGGATCATTTGGGGATTTGTAAAGAAACCTCCATTAATTTCTCATTCTCCTTGACCACCACCCAACAGGCAATGAACTATTACATTCCCATTATATCTGAAAAATAATCTATATTCCACACCAAAAGCTACCCTTCCCTGTTCAG